AAGACCAATTGGTGGCCGACGTCTTGTCGTACTTCCGATTCGATGTGTTCGAGAGCTTAGAGACTCTGTGGACGCCTGTCCTCATCAGAATCATGACTTCCTTCTCCTCCGGTATGTAATCAACAATTGGTTTATAATTTATTACATAATTATTAATTATATCAAAACGAAATCTATGTCTAAAAATATGTTTCTAAACATAATATCTGTTTTATAACAACTTTTATTATATCATTGTTCAGCTAAAATAGCGGTGCTATTAATATACTAAGCTTCTCTATTATAAGACAATACAAGTTATAATTTGAGATTTGTTTATAGTTTCGTAAAGTATTGCTTAACATTAGTTAAAGTAAATAGTGTCTTGTGATCTACTTTTTTGGTTTATTTTAATTTATTGTTATGAAAGTCAATAATAATGTCAATAACAATTTAATTAAATTCATTGCTAATGGATTGCAAACCATTGCCAATAGTTAAGGCATTAATCAATTTAATTAAAAATAATATTTATTCTGATAAATAATGGTGTGAAAAATTAACAAAATAGTTGAGTTTGACATAAAGATTTAACTATTTATTTGTTTAGAAAATAATAATTAATTAAACAATAATAGATTATAATAAAGATGAAAGTATTGCCATAGAATTCAATGTTTTTACATACAGTATATGATGTAATTCAGTTAAAGTTGAGCCATAATGTAATAGAAATCAATTTTTACATAATATTCTGTAATGCAATGAATCTATTTATAGAGAGTTCTCTTTCTCTCAGTCTTCAGTGCAAACAGAATATCATTTTTTATATACTTTCCAAACATTTTGTTTGCGATTCTTAAGCCAACGACTCACTGAATATCGTTACGTATTTTCTCATATATTTTTAGACACATTTGAAACTAAGATTTAAAAGAGTTTGAAAAATTAGTATATTTTCTCCAAACCAAATATTGTGATAATTTCATGAATTTTAACACTATTTTAAAATATAACTTTTTAACAAACAAAATGCAAATTATTTATAAGTCATGATTTTTTGCGTAATATTTAACACTTTCCCAAATCTATAATTAAAGTTTTAGACAACAGTATTTTTAAAACAGATTCTCAGAAATATATTTTTAGCTCATATTGTTTTTGAGATTATTAATAATTATTAAACACTGAAACACTGAATTTTTAATCACTTGATTAGTAATAAAATTATTATATTTATTACAAACACTCAAATTATGTAAAATTAAATAAAAATGATTACTTTTGATTGAATGGATAGGTATACTAATAACACTGGTCTGGTTGTTCACCTCATCGTCGTCGTGGTTCCTCATACTGGCCTCGTCTTACATCAATGTGTATCTGTGTCTCAAAGAGATGGATCAGTTCTGGAAGATATTGATGGCCGAGAGATCGAGTTTAGAGAAATACCGTTTTGCCACTAAAGAGGAATTGACCGAAAAGTGTGACGACGTGTGCGCCGTCTGTCTGTCCAAAATGTCACACCGGGTCCGGGTATGCATGAGATCCACTGTTTGAGCATGTTAATGTACACCGTACATTGTACACTCTACCTTACAATTTGTTAAATTTAAATCATGTGTGTTTTTATCCAAATAATAGGTGACTCCGTGTCGGCACTTCTTTCACGGCGATTGTCTCCGGCGTTGCATTCAATTGAACGCAACTCTACCGGCATTGTGTCCGATGTGTAA